AATATTTATCCAGGACCTTCTGGCTTTCAGAGTTTCCATGGTATAATTCTGATAGGTTTGACTTTATCTGTTACTTGACCTTTTTCCTTAGCTACTCTTAATATTCTTTCTTTACTCTGTACATTTGGAGTCTTGATTATTATGTGGTGAGGACATTGTTTTTTGTGGTCCACTCTATTTGGTGTTCTGTAAGCTTCTTGTACTTTCATTCGCTTGTCTTTCTTTAGGTTGGGAAAGTTTACTTCTATGATTTTGTTGAATATGTTTTCTGCCCTTTGAGGTGGTTTTATTCACCTTCTTCTATACCTATTATTCTTAGGTTTGGTCTTTTCATGGTGTCCCATATTTCCTGTATATTTTTTGTTTGGGATTTGTTGAACTTAAGATTTTGTTTGGTTGATGAATCTATTTCTGCTAGTGGCAACACCTGAGATTCTCTCTTCCATCTCTTGTATTCTGTTACTTATGCTTGCATCAGCATCTGACCATTTGCCCAGCTGTTCTATTTCCAGCATTTCTTCAAACTGTGTTTTTTATTGTCTCTATTTCAGCTTTCAACCCTTGCATTGTTTGAATTGTATCTTGCAATTTTAGTTTTGTCTTTTCTTCGCTTTCTTTCATTTTTTTGGATTTTTTTTGTTTTTTGTTTTTCTCCCATTTGTTGCATTTTTGGTTTGTTTTTTTCTTCCATTTCTTTAAGGAATTTTCTCATATCCTCTCTGAGGGCCTCTTTAATTTTCATGAAGATATTTTTAAGTTCATTCTCTTCTGCTTCATATGCATTGGGGTGTTCAGGTGTTGCTGGTGTAGAGTTTCTAGACTCTGGCAGTGTCACATTGGTTTTTCTGTTGCTGAGTGTGTTTTTATATTGTCTTCTTCTCATCACTTCTTCCAGTGGGTGCAGAAGGAGTCTCTTCCTCTCCTGGTGGATATGTGACCACAATTCCCTTCTGGTGGGTACAAGCAGGTCCAATACTCTGGTGGCTCCACTCTTGTGTGGATGGAGGTGGTCCTAGTACTAGGGCCTTGGAATCTTTGGGTAGGCTGCACCCTGTCGGGATGGGATCTGCACTGTGCAGTCCCCAGGTCTCCAGTGGTTCTATTCAGGGCACCAGAAGGCAGGCTGAAAACAGGCCCACATTTACTTCACATGTCCCATGAGTGGAGAATGGGACTTGGATGCTGGTAGTCTCTGGGTGGGCTTACTCCTATCAGGATGGGATGCACAGTGTGCAGTCCTCAGGTCACAGCTGGTTGCCTGCAGGGCACTGGAAGGCAATCAGGAGACAGGCCCAGGCCTACCTAGTCCCATGGGCGGAGAAAGGGAGCAGGATGCTGGCAGTCTTTGGGTGGGTTGACTCCCGCTGTGATGGGAGCCACAGTGTGCAGTCCCCTGGTCTCTGCTAGCTTTGAGCAGAGCACAGGAGGTGGGCAAGAAATAGGCACAGGCCTACCTAGTCCTGTGGGTGCTGACAGTCTCTGGGTGGGCTGAATCCCATCGGGAAGTGATCTGCAGTGTGCAGTCTGTAGGTCTCTGGTGGTTCTGTGCAGGTCACCAGAAGGAGGGCTGGAAACAAGCCCATGCTTACCTTGCCTCCCATGGGTGGAGAATGGGACTTGGACACTGGCAGTCTCTGTAGCCCCAGGTTCTTAATTGTTCTGCAAGATAGGTATTTTTCTTGCTTTACTAGTTTGACTGTTTTAAATACTGTCTTCTAATGGTGCTACATGGCTAAAACTTTGTATGATTTTACATAAAACATAAAGGAATTTTACTTAATAACAATTCACTTGTTTGAAATTTATTTTTGTAGAAACTTAAATGTGTCTGATATGAACCAGAAATCATCTATAGAGAGTACTGACCCATATAGTGCTATGAAGTAGATAGAGTAAAAGCTTTATTCTCTCTTTTTAAAAATGAAGTCATGGACTCAGGAGACATGACTAGTTTGAGGCAATGAAGGCTTTTTGTTCACATTGGTAATACTTGGGTTCACTTTGTACATATGCATTCCATACAGCCATATATCAAATGGCATTACTCTGTCTTGAAGATTGAACTCTGAGGGGGAACAACGTGAATCTCAACCTAACCCTATTCATCTCAAACTGCCATTTAGGGCAGTTTTCAAACTTTTCTGTGGTCCAGTGTTTTTCCATGTATGATAGTGTATAAAACATAGAAAAATGCTCTGCAATAAAGATATTATCATTGTCATGAACACAGTGGTGGTACAAGAACTTACAAACCTCCATACATGTCCTAACCATTTGTAACAGGGAACCCTTGGTTGAAAAGTAATAGCAAATGTTGTTATTCCTAAAGAGTATCCAAAAGGCAAAGAAAATTCAACTAATTTCTGAGAGCTGAGAAATGATTATTATTTAAACTACTGTATCTGAGAATTAAGGTTAACATCTCTGGGCTATTTGAGCTATTACTATAGAAAACTGGTAAAATTGAGTGTCAGGAAGTATGGGCTTAAGTCTGGCATATTGCACTGACTTGCTAATTATTTTCAGGCTGTTGCTCTTCTGAATTTCAGTGACTCTCTACACTGTATAATTGTACTGGAAATGAAACCCCAAGAGACAAATTATAGCAGAAGCTAATTAAAACTGCCAGTGCCACCAGAATTTCAAGTTTGATGGTAGTTGGACATGGGCTTGTATGCATTTTGGACTGACAATGTGTCCTTTAAAATACCCATCAATCACAAGTGCACCCACACACATAGAAGAATGTCATATCCATAAATAGTTAAGGTATATCCTCAAATAAATGAGGCCTAAATGAAGTACCATAAGCTACCTCTGTAATTTCACAACTTGCTGATGGTATAACCTGGGACCTAGGTACTGTGATTATTTTTATCTGTCCATCCAACTCCTCAAAGGGGCCCTTCATATCTAAATGAAAATCTCTCACTAGTGAAATGGATACATAGTATACATCGCTGAAAACAGCATAAGAGTAGGTCGCCTTTAGCCAAGGTTCACTTTCTATAGTTTTGGTGATTTATCATCAACCAAAATCCCAAAACATTCCTTAGAAAATTCTAGAAAAATCCAATGTATTCATCTTCAACTATTCTGAGTGATAAGATGAAATTTTCACCATCCTCCTTTATTCTTTCTAGGATATGAATCATCTTTTTATCCAGGGGATTCAAAGCTTATAATCACCTATCCATTTATCTTTCCAGTCATCCTGGTTATGAGATGGGACATATACTGATAATTTTAATGTGTTTTCTCTATGAGTAAAGGAATCTACTGTGTAGACTTTTGCACTCTCAAAATTCTTTTTTAAAAAAAAGCTCCTTCTTCCATCTTCTTTCCAAACCTCTCTCCCCTCTGTTTCCCCAAGTTCCAAATTTTTCTCTTTCTCCTTTTATAAGAGAGAAATTGTTTTTAATGTGAAGCTTTGTGACATGACAGCTCCTTCCTGGGGATCATTGTGTTGATTTCCAAATTCAGTAGGCAATGGCCATGCAGGTCTGAATGCTTGAGCACAAAAGGAAACTTGGGTCAAGTCTGAACCTTCTTAAGAAGAATGAAGAATTGAGGGCAAGATCTCACTCATATAATTCCACATCCTAAATGCCAAACTCGTCAGAAGTATAGATCTATTGATTGGAAAGTTGTCCCGAGAGTAAAGACATAGGTGTGAAATGTTAGGCAAATATCATTTCTCCTAAGTTTAACTCTTTGATGAATTCCATTTAATTGTCCATAAATAAATGTAAATGTTAACATGATTTTCCTATGTTTCTCACTATATGACCTAATAATAAAACTAAGACTTTGGTCAACAGTTACTCACAAATATGTAGATAATATGGTTTAAAATGTCTTCAATAGCCTGCAAGATAGTACAGCAGGTAAGCAGCTTTTTGAGCAAACCTGACAACCTGATTTTAATCCCCAGAACCAGCATAAAGGTACAGGAAATAACCAGATCCACCATACCTGTCCTCTGACCTCTTCACATATGACATATGTGTGACCCCCAATACACACACACACACACACACACACACACACACACACACCATAATGATAATAACAGTAAAAATAATAATAATATTTTTAAGTTATACCAATGAATTTTGAAATAAGATGTCTGGTGCTAGAATTGCTTTTACAGCTCTCTTTCACTCCCATACTCTTTTATACATCTCTTTTATACTTTCTCTTGCCCTGCTACTTTTCTTTTGCTCCAGTCACACACTCAACTGGTCTGATTTCCAAACTATTACTCTCATTAACCTAAGTGATGTTTCCGCTTAGCATCCAGCACAATGTAGCAAGCTTTCATACTGATCCTGGTATCCTATACTCAAGCATACACATGCACATAGACATAATACATGTGAGTTCAGACCACCCTAACCAGCAAACACACACTGGTAACTGATAGTCTTATTCCTGGGGTATCCACTGAGAACATCTCTGAAAGTTTATCCCTCAAGCTAATCCATCCAGACACATTGTTTTATATTCACCTTGGTCTGTAAATGTCTCAATTGTATGTAATAAATAACTATTGACTGAAAAAAGACTTGCACACTATAGCCATAACTGTGGTAATGCATATCCTCATATGCAACAAGTTCTTTCAAATGTAAACAGAGTTCAACTCAGCACTTGACATAATCGTTGTCATTTCAAAAGTAACTGTTGGGTTTCCTTATACATATCACAGCTGGCCCCACTTTGCCTCTCCCCAGTCAAGAAAACAATTGATTTTACCTGCCCTCCCTAACATCTGAGGAAAGATTTGCACATTGCAACTCATTTTTCCTTGCCCATAAAAAAAATTACCACCATTTTTCAAGCATTTCATTTGTAAGTTTCACTGTCATTGATTTCAAATTCTAAACAAATACATTCATGTTAATAAGGTAATTTATTACTAACAGTAACTGACTACTTAACATTCATGTATCTTCCCAGTTCCCTGAAGGAATTAACTTTCAATATTCATTTCACAGCCACAGTTGGTGAAAGATTTCCGTGAATTGCGCAAGACATTAGAGACCATGGATATGTTCCGTGCCAACCAGGGGTTCTTCTTTCTCCACCTTGCTCAAATCTTGATTTTGGAAGTTTTAGCATGGCTAATACTACGTCATTTCGGCAGTGGCTGGACTGTTACCATATTCATCTCTTTTCTCCTTACAGTTTCTCAGGTAAGCAGGTACCCTAACCTTAGGCAGTGGCTTCAGAGAGAGACTTGGGTTTGTTTTCCATCCTTTTATTTTTATTTGAAAACTTCATACATGCATTTTGATCATATTCACTTCTCACTCTTCCCCCTCCTAGACCACTCAGGACACCACTGATTGTATTTCCCTGTCAACATCATGTCCTCCTTTTTAAATGGTATTTTTAGCCCAGAGTTCACTTAGTGCTGCCCATCATCACAAGAGTGTAGGATCATCCCCTGGGACAGTTGGAATCTACCGGTGGCCACACCCACAAATTAAAGTGACTCTCCCTCTCCTAGAAGCCAGCAGTTTCTCAGCTAGGGTGGTGCTTCAGGAGTCCCCTATGCTGGAATTTTTAACTTGTTTGATCTTGTACAATTGGTAACCACAATTGCTATGTGTCTTGTGTGTAACAGACATGTTATATCCAGAGGACAGCAGTTCATAGCTCTTCATTTTCCATTTCCTACCTTCTTTCAGCCTCCTGTACTGTTCTCTAATCCCCTTTAGATAGGCTGGTGCACATCTTGGCACACTACTCATGAGTTTTCATATCTTTCTAAAGTGTTGGACTTCCAGTTGTCTCATCTATAAGATGAGGATAACAATGACTATGAAATTATTCTGAAGAAGACTAAGCAGGTTATTCTGTAAAAAAATGAGCACAATATCTATCATATGCTAATGGTTAAATGAATGCCAATTGATATTGTTCATCCTGTTTTATCCCAATTCTAATAAGTAAAATTCTATCCTCATCCATATAACATCAGTCTTTATCTTTTGTTGGTTAATCCACCAAGACTTACCACTACATCAGCCTATTAATTTTTCAAGGGGGATGATTCTATCTTAATAAGTGACAATAACAAAACACATGCACTCCAGTATAAACGACATCGGCAACTGGCACTTAGAGCATTTGATAAATCTTTGTTAAATTCTTTATGCATGTCTAAATGTGACCTCATATAAGCACAGGCTATATAGAAATATGAAGGGAAATTCACATGCTCCCTGTCCTGAATGAAGGAGTTCTCCAGGACTGAAAGAACCACTCAAAGGGATACTGCATGGTAAAAAGGGGAAAGTACCAGCAGTAAAAGGAAACATGTACTCCTGGAGCAATAAGAGACAATTCATTCTTCGTGGAACAACTCAGGAAGGTTTTCCAAAGAGTAACGTTACCAAGTCCCAGAATTTTTGCATTTATTTTACATTATTTATATTATTTATATTTATTTCTTGAAAAGTTAAACTTATTTATTCTTTAGGAAGTCATTTTTGGAAACAAATATTCATTTGATGCTTAGCATAAATTTGACACTTTAGAGTAAGTTAATTACACAAGGACCCCATGGGTTTGGCATTATACACAGGATGGGGGGAATCAGACAGATCACTGAGTGTCAGAGCTGTATAACTTGCCCAGAGTTGTTCAGCTCTTAAGTATTGAAGACGCCAAACTTATTAGACACTAACATCCATGCATGGTCTTCCTGCTCCATTACAGAAGACATCAAAGGGTGATAAAGAAAGTGTTCAGGGCAGTAAAGGCCATTAGTGTATTTAGATGGATGTTATAGAGATGGTGATGTGTGTAGGAATTTGAAAGTAAACTTGGATGGAGATCAAATGAGATCTCCCATTGTTCTCTGTCAGGCTTATTAGTCCTGCTTCTGGGATTGATGATCCCTTCTTGATTTTGCAACTTCTCTAACTTCCTTTTCTTTCTTAGGCTCAAAGTTCATTTTTACAACATGATATAGGACACCTTACCTTGTTTAAGAAGTCCAAGTGGAACCACCTGATGCACAAATTTGTAATGTGTCACCTCAAGGTACAGGATGTGAGGGAGTGTGATGGAGATTGTGAATAGAACTCCTTAAGGCAAAGGTTGCTCTCTCTTGTATGTGTACTGAAAGCAACAAAAAGTGTTGACATTCACAAATGAGTAAAACATCTTTATAAATAGGTTTAGCCAGGCAGGTGGTGGCACACGCCTTTAATCCCAGCACTTTGGAGGCAGAGGCAGGCAGATCTCTGTGAATTCGTGACAAACCTGGTCTACAAGAGCTAGTTCCAAAACAGCCTCCAAAGTCACAGAGAAACCTGTCTCAAAAAAACAAAAAAAAGATGGGCTTAATAGATTTATATATAATAATATTTAATATAGCATTGCAAAATATGCAGCAAAATAAAATTTTAAATTTTAAGAAGAGAAAGTGTTTAGTGTTTACTTTTTATGACTCTGATAAACTATTTGGCTCAAATCACATTATTCTAAGGCATGTTCACAGAAGAATGTTTGTGTCCTTAAAAAATCTTGATATGCCCCAGAAAATCATAAATGGGAATCTTCTTAGAAGGAATGTAAAGATTTTCCTTAGGGGAATTCAGCATATCTAATTAATCCTGAAAGGTTGAGGCTGAGTATATAAAGGAAAAATGCTGAAGACATAAAAAGACAAAGCTAAATAATAGTAAAGGAAGGTTGGGTGGTTCTTTGAAAGAGGAGGATTATAAAACAGACTTCTGCAAGAGCTGAAAAACCTGGCATTATTCTCTGAGAAGGGAGTGTGTTATCTTCTACCGTAACTAGTAACTTCCTGTACATAGATCTTCAATAAGCTTCTGATCCTGAGTGAGTGAAAGAACAAATGAACAGAGATAATAGGACTGCAGTAGTAAGGGCTTTTGTCTCTGGCAATGTTCAATACGCCATTCCAAGACCATCATGTCTGTCTCTGACCTTCTATAGCATTGGGAGATAAGCTAAATCTCTGCCTTTCTCTAATTATCTACATTTTTTACCATGTCCTCTGGCTCAGAAGGTGAAAACATGACCGCACCCACCCACGAAAACATCTCAAACAAATCCTTCTGTTCAGGTTAGAACCTCCCAGGAAAAGTTCTCAGACACTGACTTAGGTTGCTTTTTCTTCCTTAGCACTTTCTTTCTTTACTTCTCAAAGATAGCCACTTGATTTCCCAGCCTGGAAATAGGCAACTAATTTATAGAGTGAAGAGAATTCTGGAGCTAAAATGTTGGAGAGCAGGAGCCACAGCCTTGGATAACAAATGACAACGATTGGTGGGCAGGAACCTGAAGGAGATGAAAGCTGCCAGGTGCCAAGAGCAGAGCTGTCTCCCTTGAGGCTACTGTCTCATGTAAGACTCACAAAATGGAAATTACAGCACCTCTATTTTTCAGATAAAATAAGTCTTAAAAGGGGTTGACTATTTAAAGCAATGTCTACAAACTGGTTAAGTAGAGGAACTAATGCCACAGTATTAAATAAATGCAGACCAGAGTGGAGCTTCTCAATTTGAACTATCATCTGGAGGAAACTAAGGAGCTTGGTAAAAGTGAGTGTGGCTAGACTACTATAGGAGATCTGATTTAATTGGCTTTCAGCAGGGTCTGGATATCAGCATGGGTGAAGCTCTTTGGAAGCTTTTCAGATAATTCTAGCCTAGAGCAGGCACTGAGAGCTACTATTCCAACAACAAATCCTCTTACACTGAAACTCAGCCTCTCATGCCTCTCATGAACTGTGCCACTTTGTGCAAGCTATTTAATGTTTGCAAACTTCTGTTCACTGAAAAGAAAATAGAGATGGATAAAAGCTTCAACTTGTGGGATTATTGTCGGTTATATGCGATATTTGTGTACCATGTGTAACACAGAGTCTAAAAAATGTTATGTTACCTGCTGCTAATATGAAAAACAACAGTTTCACAGCCAAAGTGAGGATCCAGAATTAATAAGAAAGAAGTTCAAACATGATAGTACCAAGTAACCTGTAAGTACAACAGCCATTGACTTACAGAAATCATCTACTCTTAGCCACTGTCTCTCTCATTCAGCAGATGGAGCCATGACTAAACTAAGTAACACAGCTGGACTTATATTTCTTTAGAGACATATCTATATGGAAAAATTCATTTAATGAGAGAATTCCTAGAGGCAAGTTCTTCCGCACCTGTATCCACCATTGCTAAGTAGATAAATTCTCTGACTTCACTCAAAAATATCATGAAATAAAAATACAGGCTTTTTTTTCTATCACCATGAAAGTCAGGCAGTGAAGCTATATGCGTCCTCTCTCCTGTGCTGAAGAGACAGAGGAATTAAAAGCCACCTGCCCTCAAGGTAATTGGCAGTTTGGTACCAACTATGCGGAATTTTCCAGTGAGTTCCACACTTGCTGATGCTTTTTAAAGTCAATGTTTTACCACTAATCCTAATTTACACATAGCTCTTTCTATTCTGTGTCTCTAAAAGAACAGTTTTCATGATGTATGTACCTTTGATGACTCCTGACTTGAATGAGAAAAAGGGAAGTGGCTCTAAAAACCGAGCCAGCATATTTTGCCTTTTAGCAAGCAAATCCAGTGACTCATGAACAAAATAAATATAGGCTGCAATGTGTACCAAAGAGAAAATTACTTGTGGGATGCTGAAGTGGGAGGGAAGGAGATGACAAAGAAAATTATAAGCAGCAACATCCCTGCATCTTACAACCACTACAATTCTAAATTCCAGTATTAGGCTTAACATCGCTTTCCCCTACAACTCAGAAAATCATAGGTAGCATTGGGGTTATTATTCAGCATCTCTGCAGCGTGTGTGTGTGTGTGTGTGTGTGTGTGTGTGTGTGTGTGTGTGTGTTCTAGTGTTTACAGTATACAGACATTCAAATATTCTCTCTGAAAATTAAACATGAAATGTCTACATACATTTTGCATTCCTATGTATTACAGATCCAGTATTGTTAATTTAAAACTCTATATATGAATCTAATAACACAATCTAATAATCTAAATCTAACAATGCAAAAATGATGCCAGGAATTTTCATACCATGGAACTTTGCTTCACACCAATAAATTCTTTAAAATAATAAATAAATTTATCTTCAGGACCATGTGTATATGAAACAAATGAGTTTTATATTTAGATTTAATTCTCTTCTCATCCCCATATTTCACTGTATATGTACAAATATACCAAAGGAATTTTTCATGAAATTAAAGATACTACTGACCCCGGAGATGGACATCATGTAACATTTTTTCAAGATCTCCCTATATGAACACTTTACAAATAGTACAAATTCTGTAATGGAGAAGAATGTTTAAGATTACGACCTGGTGTGACATCCATGACTATATCTTAAAACATTTGGTGTGTGGGAAGCGGAAGTGTCAGGCAACTGTAATCCCTCAGACCTGCAGCCATTTCCTGGCTAAGGGTATTTCCTAAGTCAGACACCTAGTAGATGGCCAAACAAGAATTTAAATTCCAGTTGATTTCAGTTCAAAGCGTAGATCCTTTCTCCTGTACTGAACTAGGGACATTATTTAGGAACAAGAAATGGCTTAAGGAGGACCCACGTAGAACTGTCTCAGGGTAGCCAGGCACATGACCGAAAACCTTCCCTTGCCCATGAAGAACTTCCCTTTGTCTGTGGTAAGAGTGTTTTCCAGACACAGAATTCAGGTAGAACTAGTTGTTTAGATCACACCCATCATTAAGTTGGCCACTGTTCTAACCTCTAGGGCTTTGTGCTAAGATCTGTTCCCTGATCTATGGTGCATCAAAACCTGTCTCCCATGTTACCAGTTACCACAGGTAGTCATTGCCTAAAAGGGTACAGTCAGCTGGTAGAAGTAACCAAAATATCAGCTGTGGGAAGAGATAATTTTACAACACATTCATTTCTTATCATGTTACATTTTGCTGTCAACTGTTCCCATTAGACTGTATATTGCTAGTGTGGGAACCTCATTATATCACATCTTTCTTAGCAACACAAGTGCCTACATAGCTCAGAATTTGATATGCTTCAAAATAAATAACAAACGAGTGAAGAAGTGACTGAATGTGTAGCTTGACAGGAATAGGAGGAGAATGAAATGAGACCCCACAGGCAAGTAATAAGTACAACTTGGGACACAAGTTTGAGTAATCATAACATATCTGGGAAGTGACTGCCCAGACAGTCAGGAAGCAGATATGAATTGGAGCCCAGAGCCTCACTAAAGAAGTGTTAGAGAGTGTTGGAGAGAAAGGGGAGCACCCAGCCCATTCTTTTTGTTTGTGAGTAGGTAGATAATGGCAATGTGTCATAGTAGAGCTTCCAGAAAGAATATGGAAAGGCAGGGCAAATGCTTACAGGTTTTCAAAGCATACTCATCACCTTTGAAGTTTATAGTGCACAGACCACCATTCTCCGGCAGAAATAATATGTAAGCTACATAAAAATGGCATGATAAGGCCAAAGTGCTTGATGTTAGATAGTGTCTCCTAGGCATAACAAGGAAAGTCCATTTACAGACTCTCAACAAGACTGCCTAAATGAGAGTAACATAATGAAACACCAGCAGGCATGCCAACATGGGCATGAAAAATAATGCAAGTTCCTACTCCTAGATAAAGAACTAGAGGTGATCAACAGCTATTGAGAGAGGGAGAATCAGTTTCCTCTAGGGATTAGTTCCTCATAGATTGTCTACTCCCAAGTAGTCAGCACTTGACACATTTACATGTGAGTAACACTGGACTCAGTAGGCTGTATATGTGTACATATGGGTGTATAAATGTATATGTGTACATATATGTACATGTGTATCTATGCAACAATAATAAAAGAAGAGTCCTTGAACTTGGGAGGGAGAGTAGAGTACACAAGAGTAATTGGAGCAGTGAGAATGATGTAGATAGATAGATACAATGTTGATGTATGAAATTCTCAAAATGAAAATTTAAAAATGACATCCTTCATCTTTAATTTTACATAACTATATTTAAGCTACCTATTTATAGCTATAATATAATATCCAAAGTATTATGACTTAAATCTGTGATTAACATTAAAATTAGTGAAACATTTTGCATTTATTTTTATACTGATTCTGCAAAATGAATCTTGAAACTTATTTTCTCTAAGTTAGTAGCTTCTGTACTGGACAGAGCTGATCCATAATGTATGTAATATTACTGCTGTTCATTCTTCTATAAACAATTAACACAAATGAGAAGAAACTGGGTTTCTCAAACAGTCAGCATTTTATCTCCAGCATCTCATATCTCCCTGAGCCACCCATGGATAAATGTCAACATGTTGATATGGAATTTAGACTCTAAGAAGATGAGTGATTTGCCAAAACTCAGACATCAGCAAAAATTTAAACAGCTAGTATATGAAAGATTGAGAGATCTCCAAAATTTTTGCTCTATTGAAATTCTTAAACTTAGAGTGAGAAAGAAAATCAATAGCAGCTTAATCAAAGATGATTCTAGCTTGGTACCTACTAGAATGTTTTCATTCTTATTTATTTTTGTAGGAGAGCATTAAGCTGGGACTTGCAATGATCTGAGCAGAGTCCTCCAAGTAGAGAGAACACAGATTCTTGACTCTTTGAAATACTCAGATTCCTAGAGCATATTTTCCCACCAGAACTAATTGAAAATCTCAGCTATGAGGTTCCTTTATATGAAAAATAGGAATAAGACTGTTCCATCTACCTTCAGAATCATCTTTCAGACTGACTTCTATAAAAGAAGGCTAGAAAACCATCCCATATGTGTAGATTATCTTCTCATCCTCAGGAGTTCTTTTGAGCCAGCAGTCATGTTCCTGAATTAGAAAAGTATTTCTTCATAGTTCTGAGTACCTTTTTTCTAATAAGCTACCCTGTGACCCAGCATCAGGGTCAACTAAAGAAACCAAATATTTTATTTTCACTTTGAAAATGCAGAACACTCCAGCAAAGAGGGGTGCCTAGGGAGAAAATTCTATGAGTTAATGAGTTCTCTCTTCTCCTCAGGGCCTGTCAGCTAACTGGTGGAATTACAGACACTTCCAGCATCATGTAAAACCAAACATCTACCCCAAGGATCCAGACATTGATGTGGGCCCACTTTTCCTGATTGGAGATACTCAGCCGGTTAAGGTGCATTTAACTACCAACTGTACTAGGAGAACATTCCTAGAAGTACTCCCTTATCATGGAAAGATCAATTTAGATTGTTCTAACTTCACAAAGGGTCTCAGAGTCTCTTTCCCTTTTAAGGTCCAGATAAAGACTTGAATAACAAAGTCTGGAGTTATAAGTATAAAGAATTTTAAGAGTCATGGCTCTCTGACCTTAAAGGCCACTCAGGCTAGATTCCCACAGCAGAATATATAATAACCTATGTCACAGCATTTGAGTAATCCCAATAGCAGGTTCACTTTTAGTTCTTATCACTACCTCTGAGGCAACATAAATCATTCTCAGGAAGTATAATCAGATGAAAAGGACCAACATTATTTTTTAAAACAAGGATATGAAGCAATAGTCACTGATAAAAAATAAACTCGGTATATTTGGTTAGCAATAGAGTACAAACATCTAAACAACTGGTTAACTCAGCTCATTCTAGTCTAGCTTAAAGAGACAATGTTCATGTTCATTTTAGTGTATTTGATTCATAGGAACCATACTCCCCAATGATTTATATGACAGCTGTAGATGCAATTCATAATTTGGACTTTTAAACAAAAAATGGAACATACAAGTAATATGCTAAATTTTTCAGTTATTGATTTTTCTTTAAAGTCTCAACTTGAGTCTTTCATCTAAAAGACTACTTGAATCACTGAATTTTATAGGAAAGAGAGTATTCCTTAAACAAAAGAGATATACTGATTAAGGCAAAAGTTTATCCCTTATCTAGAACGATAGCTCCTGAGAACCACGTACTTTCAAACAGATCTCTGTCTCAGAGAAGACATTAGGAGTGTTAGGAAATTTGATCCTGCCTTTGTGATTTGTTGCCTGGATCTGTCTTCCACAGAACCCAATGACGGTGTAGCTTTTAGAAAATTGTTTTTTCCACCTTTGAGGACTTATCTTCTGTCCCAAAATAAAATAGAAAATGAAGGTTCCTGCTTATGTATTTGTTAAAGATGCTACCTATTATCACAAATGAATTGCTTTTGACAATGGCTTTACAAACTCTTTGATTCCCCTAATGTTTGTGGACTCCGTTTGTGGAATGGTGATATGTTGGTGTCTCTGACATACCTCCCTGGAGCAAAAGACGTTTGTCTCAAGGAAATGAAGTAGCCTGACTCCCTCCAAATCACCTTCTAAAGCATTCATGCTGCCACTTCACAAATATAGAAGCCATTTCCATCAATTCTAAAAGCTGCTTGTGGGCCTATTCACAAAACTCTAAATTCTAGGCGCTGTAGCTTAAAGTGTGAATTTACAGTTATTCTACCTCTGAAACTCAGTTGTTTAGTTCCACAGCAGCAGTATTCCCTGTAGTTTTCCTTTCATATATATTTCCTGAAAGTATTTCTAACGCTTTATTCAAACAGGACTTTCTTTATCCTCACTGACTGCCCAGAAGAACTTACCATCCATCTTCAGGGTAATACTCAACTAGTCCATCTAGATTTATCAAGTCCCAAGCATATTCTATCTCATCCCTTTTCTTTGTTTCTCGCTACTTAGGTATGTGGAAACTTGAGAGAAACTACAAAGAGATATTATTATTTCATTACCATAATATTTATTTTTACTTGTGACAATAAGAGGAGGTACTAGCTATATTATATACACAAAGGAAGATATCTATATATAGAAGGGCAAGGAACAACTAGGTAAAATGAGTCAAACACTTCCTCTAATGTTGTAACTTACTTACCAGAGAGAAAAACAGAGTTGGTGCAAATTATCATTCACTTATTTAATCCCTTAATGAATGTCAGCTGTATACTAGAGATATACAATCTTTAATCCTACGCCTCAAAGTAATTGCTACCATTGTGTCCTGAGTATAGATCAGGCTGACCAAGAAGCCCAGGAAATGAATCAAATTTAATCTATGAGTGGAATCTTATAGTTATACATGAAGAGTAACTATATATAATGTTTGTAATATTATACACACTACCATGATGTCTTAGAAGTAGTAAATTAATTGAAATCCATGATAAGAATATAAAAGAAAAAAGAGAAATAGGAGCATCCATTAAATGAGAGGGAGAGAAAGAAAGAGAGAGAGAGAGAGAGAGAGAGAGAGAGAGAGAGAGAGAGAGAGAGAGAGAGAGAGAGGAGCCAGAAGTACAGGTCAAAGTCTAAGTACTACAATCAAAGAGAGCTTAAAAAGCTCCACAGAAATGTATATTTTGAAGTTAACATTGCAGGTGAAGAGAACATTTTCAATTTCTTTTAAATCACACAAAGAAAAGCAATCTTAAATTTTTATTTATATGAGGATTATTTTAAAATGATGATAAACTCTGGGCAAGAATTGCCCTCAATTAAAGCACACTATTTACTCCCCAGCCTGTTCTGGTTCTTCTAGTGTCTCAAGTTTGACAGGCAATGAGTCCTAAAATCATACCTCTCTCTCCCTCATCCTGCTCTCCTCTCTCTCTCTCTCTCTCCCTCATCCTGCTCTCCTCTCTCTCTCTCTCTCTCTCTCTCTCTCTCTCTCTCTCTCTCTCTCTCTCTCTTTCTCTTTCTTAGACACACACACACACAAACACACACATATATATGTGCTAGAGAATAATGACTCTTTTATTCTCTGCCCTTGTAGTATGGCAAGAAGAAAATAAAATACATCGACTACGAGAAGCAGCACCTGTACTTCTACATGGGTGAGTCTCCTGTAGCCACTTTTCTTGTAAGTGCTAGTCAAGCTGAAGACATGATTAGAACTGTCTCACAGAAACCAAGCCATATCTGATTTGTTAGTGAGAAAATAAAAAGATCTTATTTCAGACTCACTGGTGGGAAAGCATGAAATGAAAATAGAAAAGTAAACAGGCATTTCTAACAGGTGTCTCATCATACTAGGTACTAGGCTAGAAATAAAAAATATACTTAAAGAGGGTCAGAAGGCAAAATACGAAACAGGGAGTCAACACTCTTGTCTTAGAAAATTTTAACAACATAGAAATAAAATAATAATATCATTTTTGTAGAGAGAAAAAAGGCAGAAAAATAATAATGAAAAATTTGCCGTGTGATACCAGAAAAAATATATATTCAAGAATAAAGAATATCCAAAGCTTGTAGCTGCTGAGATCAGCAAACAGCTGTAACATAAATAGATAAATAGATGATAGATAGAACTGTAATGCCAAGCTTGAAAGCAAAACCATTTAGTTTAATAATTCTGATACCAAAATTATTATTACTAAACAAAATCAAACTTCTGGTGATGTATGACCAAGTTTTCAAGTAACTTGGAAGTCCAATAATCTAAAATACACTTTCCTATCTATGAAACAAACCAACATCAGGGAAAGAAACAAATGCAAACCGTTTACCACAGGTTGTCAACTGAGAATATTTTTCTCCCAGGAGATATTGAGAAGGTCTAGAGGCATTTTTGTTTCTCAATATGGAGCGGAAGGGGATAATTTCAAAAATCCTATAATGCACAAGAATCATGACAAATGATTACCCTAACCATATAAATCAATGCTTTTGAGACAGAGAAGTGCTCATAGGCTCCCATCTGCCCACACAAGCAACAATTGGTCACTTGTAACTTGCATACGGAAGACAGCCACTGAATGAATTATTTGGCAAGTGAGGCTACCCATCCCATCTCTCATTTCCACACTGGGATTCAGTCTCTCCACCTAGTACGCATCATTGCACCCTTTTTGTGCCACATTCCAAAAGGTAGCTGACACCAGCCAAAATGGACATGTTGCTTCTGAACTTTACTAAGTAATAATATGTCTTTATAAGACATCTTTATAACAGTGAAGTATCTCCTTAGTTTATGAGAAATAAATATAGGGAATATACTCACTTCGGTCTGCCTACGGCACAAATCCTCCAGTTTCTAGGTGCCCCTACTCTTGGAATGCCAGCTGAGTCTCATAAACACAAATAAGTCAGACTCAAATTGTCACAGAAAAACATAGCCATACCATTGTCAAAGATGACTAGGAAAATTTTATTCAAATTAATGCAAAAGGAAAGAGAAATGTCTGTACCAACTGAGCTTAATGCTACTGAAACACCTGGTGCAAGGGAAACTTTCCAAGTACTGAAGGGGTTTATTGAAAGCTATTGACTGGGAGGCAGAGAAGAGCGTGATAAAGTTAGACCACCTCTGTTTGCAGACTGGTGTTTATTGGTGCTAGGCTCTGGTCCCACTAGGAAAGAGTGGCCTTGTTCTGCATAGTATTTCAAAAGGAAGATCCCCTGTGTTATAGCAAATAAATCTCTAAGGAAGAGAGAAATAATTTCAATTGTGCATAGTCTAAGTAATCCTCTAAGAAAAATAATGCCAGGTTCCTCTTCTCAGGTTGAATGGCACAAAGAAAATTCTTTTAACGGCATTTGGTTTTCCCAAGCCAGAACTTTCAGGAGGCTGGGTGTTCTGGGTTAAGCTGCAATAGTAGTTAAGTGGGAAGTCATTTGTGTTGACAATTACAGTCCTCATTGGTCAAGCCTGAAATCTAGTTGAGAGCAAAACTCATAGGAAGCTAACTAAAGTTTGGCCAGGAAGAAGGTATTTTTCCAAAACCAAAGGGTCTCCCAGAGATTGTTTTGTGCTCTTAGAAACCTTACAGATACAATGAGAAAATCAGGTATATAGCTTTCTAGCCAGGAAATAAGTATACTGACCTTATTTCTGTCATACAAATGTATTGTGACAGAACCAATCTCTGAGGACTTAGGGAAACCTAAAAAACTCCAGGACCTAAGAAAACCTTGAAAAGTCCCAACAGAAGATAAGGGGAAGTTTCTATCAAAATGACTCTCACTTTTAATATTTCACTAGCTGCTTCAGGAAACTGGAACCTGAAACTGTTGGCTATTTTTTCCCCAGCCTCTGAGGTGTGAACGTCCAATGGAGACCACATTGGGGTTCTGGATATCTATCTTGTGTCCCTTCTCAAGGATAACACTCTGGAGAGGGCATGCAGAAAAAAACACCCATCGGCTTGCACTGGGCTTCACATTGCTCATTTATTTGTCAAATCTCTTTTGATCTTTTTCAGTTGCCCTTCCCTTCCTCATGCCTGTCTACTTTAATCTCCAATCCATACAAGTGATGTATCTTCGAAAGTATTGGGCGGTGAGTCACTCATCACATTTTCTAAACCTTGACCAGATAGAAAACAAGTTGAAAGTGCTGAGTATTCTCCAGGTGTAGCTTACTCAAGTAACAGGACATCAGACTGAGACAGTGTCCAAAGAATAGGACCTGAAATGGTGTTCAAGACTTCTCACCAAAATGCTTATCTCTGCAGGACATCGCTTGGGTTACCAGCTTTTACATTCGATATTTCATCACATTTGGCCCTTTCTATGGAATTTTTGGAACAATACTGCTCATACATTTGGTCAAGTAAGAATATTATATTATTTCTATAACCTCTTTTACCAGAGCTGTTTGTTGTTAGAAAATATGATAACAGTGTGGCCCACTCCCATGAGAAGTTTGAAAGAAAGCTAAAAGGCAATAGTTCAAATGATTGAACAACACAAATTCCATATAAGACTTTGTCCAGGCTAAATACCCCCTTCTTTTAAAGTTTCCCAACTAAACCCATGCCAGTTGTACTCTAAAGTCATTATAGCTTAAGTGGTTTGACATCATGAACTCTGTCAAGAATCATAATAAAGAAAGAAAAATTTTAAGTTCTGTCACTAGAAATTTTTCTCAAAACCAAAACGGCATCAAACCACAATTTTGCATAAATAGCCCCTTCTAAACTTTTAATTTGTTTCTTTCCCATTCAGTTGCATTACTATAATAAACACCTACTAGTTGAAAGGATAATGAGAGCAACAGACAATCAGTTAAGGGCTTGACAGTCATCATTTTATTTAATGTAATCCTCACATAGTCTTATGATGCAGATAGCATTATCTTTCTTTCTGCTCAGGGAACTGAAGCTTGGAGAGATTAAATCACTTGCCTAAGGTAACAGAACATGTAAGGGCCAAGACTGGTGCCAAGCAGAACTTGAATCCAGCTCTATCTGATGATTGCTTTACAAATGCCCTTAGAGAACTCAGGGTTTTTTTTTCTTGTGCTGGGAATTGGACTGGGCTTCATACATGCCAGGCTAGCACTCATTCCCTGTTATATTTTATCTTTACACCAAAGCTAGAGTACACTACTACAGACAGTGCTCCTGTGAGTTAAGAAGTGAAACAAAACACATTGTCAAATGCTTGTGTGTCAACACTAGTTGCAAATGTCATTCATACAAGAAATGGACAGCCACTAGAACCTTGGAACCTCTTTCATTTCCTCCAGTGTTTGACCAGTTCAGGCAAAGGTCACAGAAGCTCAGTGACTGCAACTTAAACACAGTAAGGGAGTTACCACTGCCTCTTTTTATTCCTCTAAAGGTTAATTGAGAGCCCCTGGATTGCCTATGTTACTCAGATGAGCCACATACCAATGAAAATGAGCAGAGAGGAGAACCACGACTGGCTCAGCACTCAGGTGATGATGGCATTCCCAAGGGGCAATCCTTCTAACGAGACTGGCTTAGAATCTGCTTACTTCAAATAATAATAATAACTCGCCATCATAAAGCACTTCCCTAAGGACAGGCACTGTGCAATAGTTTGCACATAACTCCACAAGGTAGACATAATGATTATTCTCACTTTACAGCATGATAAAACTGACTTGTAAAAAGGGTTGGTAACTTGCATATGGGCACACAACTAACAAGTAATAGCAGCAGGTTTTTTATTATTTATTACATTTTTAAATTAGAAACAAGCTTGCTTCACATGTCAATCCCAGTTTCCTCTCCCTCCTCTCTTCCTGAATCCTCCACTAGCCTCCCAAGCCTCCCATCCTATCCCACAGGGATGCTCTCTCAGCCTAGACTCTTGGGGGAGGGCCTAGGCATGCCTGGATGAAATGACACACTCTGGATATCCTCTATGGGGAAGCAGCAGGTTTTAAATTTAAACAGGTTAATTATAGAGTCATCCCTACAAAGTAAAAGTCAGTCAGCTACAATCCAGCAGCCGAATCTGACCCACTGATTGTTTGTGTATACAAAGTTCTACTGAGGCATGTCTATGTTCAGTTATTTATATATTATCCATGGCCATTTTCATGCTATAACAAAATTGTTGATGACAAAATTAAGAGATTTTCTATTGAACTATAAACCACTCCTTTAACACAAAGTGACCAGCCCTGAAACTGTATGCACACAAACAATAAAAATGGACTCAGTGGATTGTACTCACATATTTGTGCAGTGGATTATATTTATATATTTGTACGTACATAGACACACACACACACACACACACACACACACACACACACATATATATATGTAATAATAGTAACCAAAGAAAAGGGCTATTATTTTGAGAATAGGGTGGGTCATGGAAGGAGTTGGAAGGACGATACTTGGAAAAGATTGTAGGAAGGAAAAGAAAGGGGAAAGGTAAGACAATTCCTTTTGGTGTAAATTATGTTTAAAAAATCTAAAGATGAGATTTATTACCTGGATATTTATAGAAAATGTGTGTCGACTTCCTATTTTAATCACTGACATAACAAAGCCTTTCAAGTGAATCTAAGGCTCAAAATTATCAGATGAATTGTGCAGCAGTAAGGACCCTAAAAATCATGATTTCACTATAGAGACAACTCATTTCAGAGAGAGAGAGCATAGCATGCTCTCCACACACACACAGTTAATGCTTAACTAAGTTATGGCCCACCTAAAATCTTCCTGCCTCCTAACTCATGGTCCTTGCCACCGACCGTTACAATAATGGGGAATTTAGTAATTATCTTGCTTTTTCTCCAGACTCATACTAAAAACTCAGAGGACCCCCACTCCTTACAGTCAGAGAATGGTTCTCAGGTGTACAACCAGAGAATTACCTCTGTATCTCTTAGTTTTTACCCATCATTTCTTTAGTCATTAGACTAAATGCTTTCCACATACTTGTTGGATTTACATATAGTTTTACATAAATAGTTTCCTAGTACCATTGTCCTTTTGTTTATGTATTAATACTTTTTTGATGACATGCTGAAAAGTAGGGCTTTTAAAATATTGCTCATAATATATCTTATAACCTTTTTCCTACTTGGCTCTTAACCCTCTAATTTTATTGTAAAAGGACTTTATTAATATTTTATTATTTCATCTCATTCAGAAGCCCTCATGTCCTAACCATACATTTTCCAACAATCCTGAAAAAAATCCCATCTGCATTAACAAAACTCCTCATTTATGACTTCATGGCCTTCTATGTCTAAGAAATGGTTGTGAAATTTTCACCTTCATTCCTACATATCTCTTAATATCTATTGCTTCATATGTACTTTTTAGCAAAATATCTTAGTATGTTTTAAATGGTAAACTTCATGAAGGCTGGGACTTTGTTGTTTATCACTCATAGTTGCTAAAAATAAATAATAACCATGTGTTAATAGATGACTACATAAAATAATTAGCATTTTAACACTTAGACTCACTTGTAGCTAATGCAATATTTTTCTTTGCAGATTGTGGCCACCTGTAATATTGAACAATCTTTTTTCAATGACTGGTTCACTGGGCACTTGAACTTCCAAATTGAACACCAGTGAGTGATGCAAATGATCCATTATGGAGCAAGAGCTAACCCAGTATAGCAGATCTTGCAATCATTCCATTAAGAGTCTCAGAGAATTAAAAAGTTTAACCAGGGTTCTTTAAAGGCTGCTGCCCATCAGTACCAGTGGCTGAATCAGGAAGGAGAGAAAGGGGAATTTAACAGCTGTGGAAAGTGAAGTGGAATTGCAGAAATGAAGCAGTAACTTAGTATTCATTTATTATGAGCATTGAGAATCCCATGTCTATAGGGCTGAGGGAGGAAGGTATTTGGATGGGCAAATACATGGGTCCATGCATATTTGGGTTGTAAATGAAACCTAAGAAAAAATTATAGCACTTGAATAACCACATTTTATTGAAATTTATAATGTAACTATCATGTTACGGTTGGTGTAATAAAATAATCCACAATAAATCCAGTCACATCTGCAATTCCCAGATGAATCTGAAGATACTTTTCCTGTTAATCAGTTAAGTGGATGCAAAATAAAGAAGTGGAAAGTAATATTTGGATAGCTGATCTCCCCCATAATACACAGCAAGATACTGCTCATGGTTCCTTCTGTAAGGATACATCTAGGAGTCAGAGAAAGAAGCTCTTATTCTCTTAATGCTGTTTTCTCATTCTATGTTCTTTGTCAGTCTTTGAACACCCTAGCAAAAGGAGAACCCCAATTCACATATTATTAAAGAAAGTATTCAGGTCCTGGAAGATTACCTGGCTAATTAGGGCCAAACTTTGGATAAAAGCCATACATTCTTGCCTCAGTTTCCAATCTGAGAACTTCCTTTTAAATGTCACAACTAGACCTGAGTGAATACTTAGCTATGCAACAGATAGGTTTTAGATAGGAAGAACAGAAGAGAGACAAGGATGCTCTCCCAGGCAAGTCACAATGCTAGCTAATCCATATTCTCATTTGATCTGACCAAAAATAAGCATATTAAATGGAGCTAATATTTATTCTCTTAGCATTTCCCAAACATTTGCTGTCCACATGGTTTACAGAAATGTTAAAAGAGAATAGCTTTTAGAGTAGGCAATCTGGCTTGCTTGAAAGCTTGTACAAGTTCAAGGTTGTATCTGCTTTGTTGGTAAGATTTAGTTTAGAAATAAACCAAACTCCTTTGGGTTTCTCTTTAGGTTTAAGTTTCACATCTCCTGTTTGTTTTCTTAGCCTCTTCCCCACAATGCCACGCCATAATTATCACAAGGTGGCACCTCTGGTGAAGTCACTGTGTGCCAAGCATGGATTGCAGTATATAAATAAGCCCATACTGAAGGCATTTGGAGACATTGTCAGGTAACAACATACCTTATCTTCACTCATAGCTCTCATTTCCCTTTCTCCTAAGCCCCCAAACTTTTCAGCAGCTTTTGAAACTTTCATCCAGCAACTATTCATTAAGAGACACTAGTACCAACAATAATAATGATACAAAAATATGTACTGTTTGCCTACTAGACTCTAGGTATTTCTTAGTAGAAATGCCCCAGTGTCCTACATAGTTCAAATTAATTAAAATAATAACTATGTAAGATTTGTCTTGGTATTCTCTATACATCTCTGGACATTCTTTTGAATTTAACATAGTAGGAAAGACCACAAAATCTTTTGATCCATTGGAGAAATTATCACCATCTAGAGGGATGCAATGACATGAATCAGCCTGAGTAGACAGCTATGCCTAGTGAGTCTAACAGCATAACCACATGCATACATATGCATTTTCCAGCATGACATGGTACTAGACATATTTATAACCACTGGTCTGAGTCTGATAATGTTCTGTGTTTAAAATATCAGAGGAATATTGTAAAGGCCATCTTGGTCACATCCAATGTCATCCACCTCTGCCAGTCTCTCTATGTTCTTCTTTGTCATGTGGCTAGCTGATCTACCTTCAGTTGCTGCAAAACTAGCTATGCCTGAGTGTCTCATCCCATTGCCATATTTTCTCCTGCCTGCAACATTCTTCAAAATTACCACTTCTCATTTCACCTTCTTAATTTCCAATCACTCTCTAAGGTTCATTGCAATTTTCCCCTTATGTCAGCCTTCATTAGTCACAAGACTAAATCTATCCTTATCATAGTTCTTATCATACCCTTGATTAAAGAGCTTGCTAAGTAAACAATTATTTAATGCTTATCTTTCAAGTAAAACCAAGAGTCTATATGGATAGAATTTGTTTCTTCCCTTTTGATGTTATATGCCTAGATCCTAGAAATATGTCTACCATTATAAAATAAAGTAGGTAGGTAAATACAGTAGAAGTATTTGGCAACTCAAACCTACTCCCTGGAAGAAATCCAAACTCATCTGTTGAAAGGAATTCAGTGTATTTGATGCCCTTCCATGATTAACAGACAGTGACATTTGTCAAATATGGCTAGAAACTACATTGTCTTAAAACAAGCAAAACATGCAGTAGTTGGGAAATTCTTTTGTACTCAGTTTTACCTTCTGACAACCTTATTTACTCCTCCAGGTCCTTGAAGAAGTCTGCTGCTCTCTGGATGGATGCTTACTACGAATGATGCAGAGTTGTGCACCTATCGGTGACTCTGAAGGGAGTAGTGGCTGTGCAAGAGCTCTTCTCTGATAAATTGAGAATTAACTGGCAATGTTGGCATACCTGAGTGTGTCAGGAATGTGAATCCCAAAGACACATGACAACCTCTCAATGAAGGTCTTCTCCATAACTGAGAGGAGGAAGAAAGACAGGGTGACTTTGATCAAAATAACAAAAGGAAATGGTAGCTCATTGTTTCTACTTTTTCACTGTGATCTTGGACTTAGTTCCAATAGTCCTCAGTGAGATTGTTTCCACGGGGAGTATAAGATGACATGAACATAAATGGAAGTAATAAAAGTAAATATCTCTGACAGAGTCCATTGAAAATCGGTGTAATTGACCTTACAAGAGAATTGTTTATTTAAAACATCCCTGCTGAAGTACTGATTTTTGCTTACTTCCTTTCAAATAGGGGAACTTCTTCAAAAATTGATAATAATTAACATTAAAATAACTTCAAATGTTTGCCTTCGTTTTGAACTTTTTATGTTGTGGTTAAAACATATTTGTAGTTTCTATACATATGTATGTGTTTCCTTGTGGAGAAATTAGAATTTCTATAAAGTCTCCTAGAAGAATTATTAAAGCCAACCCCAGTAGCAACTGATGAATATCTGTTTAAATGCACTTCTGTCTGAATAAAGAACAGAGTGCCCCCTGAGTATAAGATTAGGATTCCTATCCTCTTCCCAGCAAAACAGAAGTCCGCAAATGTTCTCACTGGATTGCTAGTTTGAAGGAAAGAACTGCATTTACTTAATGTGAGCCATGGGCTATATCTAGTAATTTTTTCAAGTTTAGAAGCAAGTTAAAGCTACTCTTAACCATTTTCTCTCTCATGAGTTAATTGCACAAGTGATCACTATTTCTATTATTTGTTCTGTCCTGGTTTCACACCATATTTCTGGGAACTTATCCTCATTTTACAGATTTTCTAATTTGTTAGTAATTGTTTGTAGTGGTCTCTTAGGATCTTCTGTCTATGGGTTACCAAACACTAATGAATGAACATTTTCAGTACAATACTGGTTTCTTTTATTAAGCTATTCATGAAGGGCATAATAAAACCTGACCTTACTTGCAGGGAGAAAACATATAAGGAAAAGGCTTTCTTCCATAGCTCTAAGCAAACCAGTGTTGTTGGTTTATCTGTTGTCTAAAATCTTCACTAAGTATTCATTTATTCTCCAAAAGGTCTTTAAAAGTACTATATATTTGTTTGCATCCTAATTGTATTCCTTGCATAGAACAGCACATTCGATCCTTCACTGTTCCTGAGGATTCACAAACACATATACCAAAGGAAAGAAAATAGGAACAAACTCTCTGCGGAAGAAATGCTGAAATGATCATAACGTCCAATAGGAAATTTGAGCAAGAAGATGAGAAGGATGCAGAGATGTCAACTTGGTGATTTCTTTCCCTAATACTAGTATAGTCAAGGGTAATTTCTCCTGCCTTGATTCAGAAATGCATATGGGGTGGAGTTGCAATTTGGTGGGTTTCTGGTTTAGTTCCTAGAGGCTACCAAGCCATGTTTTTCCTTGGGTTCTTTTTTGAGGTCCTTAGAAATAGCAAAGAACTTTTGATGGCCAAACATAATTACCTCAAAGGAATTCATAGTCAATATTAAAATCTGGCTTCCTTTGAAAATTTACAAACATTTCATTACTATGAATTTTTGAAGAAATATTAGGAAATGTAGAAAGACCACATTGGGGGGAATGTACATTGGGGAATGTAAAATTAGTTAGATAAATAAAAATATCTATCCAGCTAGTCCTAGGCTTTTCTTTCTTGGAAGGTTTTGGTTACTTATCATGAACTGTGGGGGTCCACCCTCCACCAGATCCACTCCAGGGTAATGAAGAGAAAGCCCCAGTGTAATGGGAAAGATTCTTATCTGAGGGTCACTAGACTTTCCTATGTGAGGGGGAAAATGAACAAACACACACTTTCCACTGGCAATGTAAGAAAGAAGGAACAAGCACACTCTTTCCTGATGGTAGCCTTCTCTTTACTTCATTCTTTATAGTCTTTTTCTTGACAGCCTCTCTTTATACATAAACATTTCTGTCCTGCCCAGTACATAATTTTGTATCAGTTATATTACAAATCTCTCTATATAGCCATAGCTATACATCTCATTTATATATCCTGTCATCATTACAACACTTTACACAACTCCTAGACACAGCTTCTGTAGGCCAACAGCTCTGTCACACAGCTCCCTCACACTGGCAAACACACATTTCTTCTACATTATTCATTCATTCTTTACTCACTGTCATTCATTCTCTCTCCCATGCTTCTTCAACTCTCACACGTCTTTTCCCCATAGCAAATCATTCATTCTTTACTCACTCACTGTTGTCACTCACTCATTCTTTCACACTTCTCTCTCCCACAGCAGCCTTCTCTTGCATACCTCTTCCTTCTGCCTCTGTTGCCTTTTCATCGCTGCTCCTTCACTCTCTGCCTCGTCAGCCCTCTCTCTTGCCTCTCCTCTGCTCTCACTCTGTCTTTCTGTCTTCTATGCTGTCTCTCCTCTCTCACAGGCAAACTCTGGACAAGTATAGGTTGTTTTCAAGGGCCCTACCTAAACTCAAAATACAAGTTAAGTCACATAGTTTCTTTTAGGCTAGGAATGTCACGTAGACCAGTCAGTGAGCAAGTGGCCTTACAGGTAGCTCTAAATTGGTGAGGGGTCCCAGACAGAAATGACATTAACAATAACAATTAATTAGCTGGACTTTGAGTGGTAGGGAATAAATGCAGACTAAAGTTGTTTTGAGCTCTAACTTTGAATCAGTAAACAACACCTGGGAAAATGACCTTGAGCATTTGCCTCCAGGGCCAACCAGATATTGTCTCTTTGGCACAACCAGCCTGCTTTGAATCTGTTCTGAAGTCTAAAGTGAGCTGTCTTTATGACTGAGAATTATTATTTCTGTTCATAAATATTATACAACTTAAGCACAAAATCATCATCTGGTCATCCATGGTTACCACTCTGCTCTGATATCTTTATGCCTTATTAAACTTTTATATTTCCTATTCTGTATTATTCAGTATTGTTAATTTGTGTTGTTCTAAGAATTTATGTCAATGTTAGCTTGTCAGTTTATAATTTTTGCAGTGTTTCACTATGATCCTTTGTATTTCTATGCATTGCAAATATTATATACACTGAGTCATATGCTATATGACAATTCATAAGAGTAGTTAAAAATGAACAAAGGGAATTATAGAAACAAAATTGAGGTTTGGGGATATGAAAAAGATGTGAGAATAAGAAGGGAGATAAATGACAGCCCAGCTGGGTAAAATGTGAGATCTTAGAACAGGTCAGACATGTGGATAAAGAAAAAAGACCCTGTGGAAGAAAGAAGATAACAACTTGAAAAAGTAGCAGGATTAAGGGCCAGGGAAGTTCAGAGTGGAGTTGCTCAGTATTTTTATTACAAGTGCATTAGGAGTTCACTAAAAAGTAGGCTTATAATATAACTCTCGAAGTCATTGCATTCAAAGACCCCAGGGACAGAATTGTTAAGCCACTATTGCTTTTTAACACACATATCTGACTCTTGTAGTGTGAAGGGCAGAAGTAAAGTTACCAACAAAATCAGTCTCCTGAATTCTCATTTTGTGATTATTGGACATAGAAGGTGCAGAAACAACAGGTGTATGCTCTCTGCCTCTAAGGAACAAATCAACAAGAAAAAGAAATACCAGATCAATCATAAAACATCATACAGTGAAAATTAAAATTATTTGGGATTGTGAATTCAGAAAGATGATAATTTTACTTAAAAAATTAAATTTACTCCATAGCTAGAGAACCATTAATATTTTTCATGATGCAAGATTTTTCTGAATTAAATAATTCATTCCAATCCCATTTCATGTAGAGATAAGCTTTACTGAGTATATAAGAAGCATTTCTAGGGTCAGTAAGATGGCTCAGTGGGTGAAGGAACTTGCTGCTATGACTGACAACCTGAATTCAGTCCCTGAGTTTCACATGGTCAAGAGAACTTCAGCAAGCTGTTCTCTAATGGCCACATATTACTAGCACACATGTGTGCATGGACACACACACAAGCAATGAACTAATAAATGTTTAAAAATTAAAATGATATTGTATGTTTTATATTCTCACTACATTTAGTGTGTTATCTTTGGGGTTAATTCATACTATTGTTTATTGCACAATTCTCTGCTCTCCTGAAGCTGGATAACATTTTGCTGTATATACATTCCCCATTTTTATGCATTCATCTACTGATAAACAGTTAGGTTCTTTCCACATCTTAATTATAATGAATATTTCTGCAATGAAAATGAGAAACTAGTATCTTTTTGACATCCTAATTCCAATTATTTTAGACACTCACATGGAAAGCTGCACAAAATTCTTATTAATGGTTCAAGGCATTGGGTAATGAGCTATAATTTTAATAGACACTCTTTCATTTAATAACCACAACTCTATATAGCAGATGATATAGTTAATTTCATTATAAAAATGAAAAATGTGAAGCTTAAAGACAATGAACATTTTGCATGAATACACAAATTATTAGAGGAAATTTCAGATCTAGGAATGTATGTGTCTATCATCAATGTTCATTAATCCCCTTGACAAGAAACCCAAGTGAAGGGGAACAGAGTGAGGCAGTGAAAGATGTGAGCATTTTTAGAATATTTCTGACAGTTTCCTGGGAGATGATAGAATTCTACTTAGCCCTTTATGTGAGTGTGCTTCACCAGGATGGAGACCTCCACAGGAGACATGAAAGGAGCATGGAATAGATACCAATGACAACACAGGAAAGGTCCTTCTTGGCTGACTTCCACTCATCAGCCTTTAAAGATCAGAGTAATTTCCCATGGAGAGACTCAAGCTGGATCTTAACCTTTCTTTGAGACAGATAGACCATGCATTAAATACAGAATAACAGGATACTAGAGCTTATCTAAGAATTTGTAAAAAACATGAATCAACCCCGCTAAAATCTATACTCCCTATGGTACTATTTGGATCATTTTCTCATGTATCCTATCTTCTCAGTCTTTATGCTTAAAAAAAACAAGAATTTCACCTATATTTTTATCTAGGTAAGTGAATTAGCATTAGGAACCTATATACTATTTCTAAGTCATTGCCTTTATACTATACAGTAAAATTATCAAGATCACTTACCCCAGTCTCCAAATCTGAAAAATAGGTATGGTGCTGAATATTATGTGGATATATGTACTACTATCATGAATGTAAAAATCAAAAGTCAGACAGATAGAATGGTTACATTCATGGAAACACCCTTAAATTCTTATTATAATTATTATAATGAGGGGTTTCCCCACAGTAGAACTACCAATATTAAAAGGGGATACAAGTTGCACAGACCCTCAAGGTAGAAAGCCACTGACTCATCTTTACAATGATGAGGACGCTTTCT